CCCACTAATAGCCATAATAATGCGTCGTTGCTTCGCTCGACCCTTCACAAAAAATTAAAAAAAAAAAAAAATAAAAAAAAAAAACAATACCAACCAAACCCAACCAAAGCGGCTCCGTGCTAGCCCGCTAGCTGAAACCCACTCCAGCGCCACAGCCAGCCAATCCTCCCTAGCAATCCCTATCTCTCCTCCTCTCCTCCTATCCCATCCTCCGCCAGGCCTGCGCTCCTGGTTTCCCTTCCCTCCCTGGTCCGGTTCCCCGTTAACTCACTAAAACTCACTAACTCACTAACTGTGTGTTTTTTGCTTTTTTTTGTTTTGTTTTGTTTTTTTTTTTTCCCCTTGCGCTCAACGCTGACTTCGAAAACAAGCCATCTCTCCCTTTTTCCTCTGGATCTCCCTCTCCCGCTCCCTCTTCTCCTCCTCTTCTTTCATGCTCTATTCTGTTCTGTCGTTCCCTTTGAAACGATGCCTTATAACACCCGCCGGAAGTCGCTCTCCCTCCCGTCGCTGGGTATTCACTTGCCCTCTGCGTCGCGCTCCCACCGCACGCCCACTGCTCCGAAAATTCCCTCCCCATCGGACACACAGCAACCGCCGTCAAAGAAGGTCAAGCGGTCGCATGACTCGCCGTCCCAGTCGCCCGCGTCCGTTTCGCCCGAGTCTCAAGAATCAAATTCACACAGGGCAGGGGATCTTCTCCATGGCCCCAGCCCAAACAGCCACAGGGGAGGTGCTGGTGGTACCTATGAGCACACGCCACCGCCGTCCCCAGCCCCGGATACGGGCCTCGCTACCAGAATCGACACGGATGGCATCAATGACGATGTCGTAGTTGCGGTGATTGAGCAACTGGAGAAGACCGGGAACAGGCCGCATCTGATCAAGGAACTGGCTACTGTCCTGTCAAACACGAATGAGACCGTTGCCAAGTGAGTAGTAAAGTACCCCCTTGCCCCCTGCCCTCTCTGCTTGCCCGTCTACCTGCCGTAGAGCCCTGACAAGACCGTTCCCCTTCTTTCTATCCACAACACAAAGAATAGTGTTGCTGACTATTATATTTTCTCATTATTTTCGTGTTAGCTCGGCGAATGCTGCTGCCTTATTGTCGTCGCGGTTGAGTCTCTACTTGAAACGCCCCTGGACGGCGCTTGCCCCGTGCCCAATCGTCAAGAAGTTGATCTCAGTTCATCCGCGCAAAGTGTTCTTTTATCTTGCGACATCGCCGCCCCAGGAGCTTCCGGATACGGCTGATGGTATGCTGACTCCGACGACGGAATCGAAAAGAATTACCGCGAGCATATCGGACCCAAGCATCGACCCTGACGATGCGGACGAAGATCTAGCCCGTGAGCGCGCTCGACTAAGCCCAAGTCCCGAGGTTGACTTGTCAGCACCGGAGTTTGACGATGAGGATGAACATTCAGCGCCTGGCGGGCCCCACGCGTCGGCCCGGAATTATGGCGTCCGGGGTAATCTGTCCAATCTTCATCACCACCATCGTCTGTCATACAACCACCGGTCGACATCTCCACCGCTGGAAGGGGATGAGAAGGAGTTTACCCAGACAGCCAGCTCTGTCCGCGAGCGAACTTCTTCGGAGGAGGTAGCCGCGAGAAGACGACAGGATCTGGAGAAGGATGACAGACCTCAGCACCATGCAGCGGATGGACAAAAGGCGTCGGGGCCCAGTGGCGATGTTGAGATGGAAGAGGCTTCCACGTCGCATAATGGATCCAATCATCAAGAGACTGATTATGCCGACTTCTTTACTTCCCACATGCTCCAGAATCCTAGCCAGGACCAACACCTGGATGACGCCTCTGCAGCTACCACACTGTTTGGCGCATCTCCGTCCCCGTCCGTTTCCTCAGAACTATCCACGCTATCGTCGGCTTCCAGTGCCACCTCACATTCCGAGACTGAGGCTGATCTACCCATGGACACCAGCAAAGCTGTGGCGACTGGAGGTATTTCTTCTGGGGCGCTCAATGGGGGGAACGATGTCACAGCAACTATTGGGCGTGGAATCTCCTCCACTGGTATATCCGGAGCTGCAACCGGGCTTGTCAAGGGCGTCAAAAGACCTATTACCGTAGTTGATGTGGCGGAAACGAACTCTGCCATGGAGGCGGACACAAGAAGAATGGATGATGGTGATATCAGCAAATCGTTCGACACAGTGGATCCTACGGCTGCCAATACCATTCTCGACAAATCGGCCTTGACGTTCGGCCACACCCTCGAACTGATCAAGCCGACCATGGATCTGGATACCGAGATGGGAGCCGGAGCCGGAGCCGCAGCCGCAGCCGGAGTGGCCCTGGGCCTGGGGCTGGAGTTGGAGTCGTGGACCGACCTGCCCAGCCCGGAAACCGTCGAAGTCGACGAACTCGATGCAATGTTTGCGAACGTCTGATTATATTTGTGTCGAACTATTTACGTTTTTTTTCTCTTCGCCATACTTACCTACATGATTCATTTTTATCAACCCTCCACCCTCCCCGAGAATATTAGTCCCCCTCAAACGGGCGACATCATATGCGTTTAATCTTTTCCCCTTTCCTGTACATATTAACTTTAATTCCTCCTCCTGATGTCACTTCTTTGCTTGGGGGTTTTAATCCTTGATAGTCAGGGGGACATTTTGCAGTGATCTCCCAGTCTTTTCGGAGGTTTTTTTGTTTTATTTTTCTTTTCCCCCCATACTAAATCCGAGTTTTCGTGGGCAAAAATGTAAAATGTGTTCCAATATGGGATGGATGGTCTCTTGTTGAAATTCTTCCTATCTGTACTTCCTTGCTTTCTCCTACATTCTCCCTCCTCTTCTTCTTCTCTTGTCATGTTCTCTTCTCCTATTTTTTTCGGCGGGGGCTGTTTTTACTCTGCCATATGGATGTTAATGTATTATTCATTGCGTACGGTTTGGTTGTTCTGGACCCGTTCGTTCGTTGGTCTTATTACTATTCTTATTACTATTACTATTACTGTTACTGTTACTGTTTTACTAGTTTTAATTTTTTTTTGTTTTCTTTAAAAAAAAAAAAAAATTCTTTGCTGGCGGCGCAAAAACAGAAATTGTCCGGAAACAAAACAACGAAAATGCAGGTAGTTAGTTAGTTTAATATGTATGCGTATAAAGGTTTATGGGGGTATACATACATATATATATATATATATATCATCGACTGATTCTCACAGAGAATATATAAAAGTAGAAAAAAAAAAATACGATGCCCTTCTTTTGATTTCTCTTGGTTAGATAGATTCCGCTCCAGTTCCCTCTCTTTTTCTTTTTCTCTGATTATTTTAAATAACTACCTTTTTTCCCATGTCAATTGATTGATTATTTGATTTAGTTAGTTATCCATCTCTTTTTTCTTTTGTCTTTTTTCTTTTTTCTTTTTTCTTGGCCCTTGGCCCTTGGCTTATTTTATTTATCCCAGACAGATCCTGGGCCTTGTGAGGTTTCCCCTATCTATAGGTGTAGATAGAGAGATAGATGGTGGTCAGTCTGTCACATGAAAACCCCATCCCACCTCTGTCCGGAGATCCGGGGTTGTGTGGCTCCAACAAAGGAAGTTTTTCTTTTCCTTCCCCCTTTAGTACTATACAATGCAAATGCAGTCTTCTGCTTTCAGGGGAGCGCTTTTAGCCCACGAGGGAGGAGAGGGATATTCTTCTCTCCTACTTCGTCTCCGGTTTTACCTATTGTATAGATATATATATATATATATATATATATATGTGATATGCGCAAGCTGGGAATAAATCTTGCCCCATTTTTTTTTTCTCTTCTGCGGGCTTGATATATCTCTTATTTTTGATGCATACATACATATATATATATATATATATCACAGGTACATGTAACAACGGGAATGAGATCTGGCCCAAAAAAAAAAAAAAAAAAAAAAAAAAAAAAAAAAAAAAAAAAAAAAACCAAAAAAAAGAGGGGGGGGTCATCAAATTAAAGGGGGGGGCAGGGCCAATAATAGCCTAGTCACCATCCACGTCCTCCGCGCAACTACCACCCCGCCATCTGTCGAGGCTTGAGGGCGATTGGTGATGGCATAGGAACGAACAGCCGTTATTTTTTATTTTTTATTTTTTTTTTTCTTTTTTCAAAGCTCCCCTTCCTCGCTCCCGCCGTCATCGTCAGCATCATTGGTTTTGGTATCGTGGTCCTGCAGCGATGCGGTGTTCGTTCCTACAACATCGCGTTTTCTTTGCTGATCTTGCTCGAGGTCGTGGCGCGGTTCAGAAGAGGGAACTGGTGGGGCCACTGACTGTTGAGGCGGTAGTGGGGGAAGTGATGTGGACATTGCTCCGGGACCCGACGTCTCTGACGGGTGTCTCCTGGAACGACCGTGATGGTCGGTTCCGTGGTCGTGGTCATGGTCGCGTGCCCTTTCTCTTGCCATGTCCTTATCCCGATCGTTATCCCTGTACCTATCTCTTTCTCTATGCCTATCCCGATCCCGATCCCTTTCACTTGATGATGGATGATAGTAATAATTTCCCCTAGGTTCGTGGGACCTGTCATTTTCCGGTGGCATGCCTTGCTGGATAATAGCATCGATACGTTGCTGTAATTTGTCAACATTTGAGGGATCTGCTGGTGGCGGTGGCAGGTGAAACATTGATGATACCGTCGCTGGAGGTGGACCTCTTGTCGGCGGCTGTCTATTTGGCGGTTGTGGGTTGTTGCTATAGCTTCCACGGCGAGGGGGCTGGGGTTGTTGATGGGGAAGGGGAGGCACGGTAACTGGGGGTGGTGGAGGAAGTGGATGCTCTTGCCGTGGTTGATTCAGAGGGATGCGTGCCGCTTGTGGGATTCTACTTTTGGAAGGAGAGACATTCCTAGGATGGCCATGGCCGTTCATCTCTGGTTGCCTCTGACTGGATGGAATGCTGATGGCGGTTTGTGACGATGAGTTTGAGGCTACGTTCATGTTTGCAGTTGCTTCAGTTAACGAGATTTGTGATGACGGTGGTTGTTGTGGTTGGCTGAATGAGGATGTTTCGGTATCGCCTTCGCTTCCTTCACGACGCTGGCGCTTGGGAGAAGGCTGAGGGTCTGGCTCCCCCGATGTTGCTCCGTTTGGGGGAATGCTTATTGGATGTTGGCTAAATGATCCGGAATGGCTGTCTCTTTCACGTTTGCGCCCATTAATCTCACCAGGAGACATACTGTTGTTGGCGCTATCGTCTACACTGCCCTCGCTCTTCGGGTGGTGGGACGTTCTCGTCATGTCGGTCGGTTCGTCGTCACGGGTCGACAGGTGCACATATTGCTGCCCGGGCACGGGAACAGACACAAATTCATAAATATCGGCCATGCGATTACATGCCCTTCTCATCTCGTGGAGATCAACGTCCAATTGTCTCCACCAAGGCCTATTTAGGGAGTCGTCTTCAAACGCAACTTCACAGTGCCTTGCTGCTGCATAGAGTGCAGCTGCGGCTATAGTGCGTGCCGGGAACTGTACACATAGTACCGTATATGTAGAATCATTGAGGAAAGCCCAGGCCGAATTTCTAAGCCGTTTATTCTCTTGCACCTTAAAGTAGCAAAGAAAGTCGTACAATAGGCGGTAGGGCTGCTCAAGCTGAAGATCGAAGCACAAGGCTTCGAGCAACAGATCTTCATTGTGTAAAATGGTATCGCGCCATCTCCAAAATTCTTTCGACTGCTCATCCACGATCATGCTTGGTTTCTTCTGTGCGATGCGACAACAAGCGACGATTAGCTCCTTCATCTTGCGGCAGTTCTCCTCGACTTTGGTAGCGAGAAATAGGGCAGTCGCGGCGACCGAGTAGGGATGCATCCCTGGGCGCTGCGGAAGGTCTTTCATACTATATCGCATGAAAAACCGATGGAGGTAGACACTCGCGGTGCAGAGAGTGAGTTGTGGAAGCTTCAAAAGGATTCCGACTTGGGTGATAAAGTTCACCCCCTTGCTACGGCTTGTGTGTTCAGCTTCAATCGTCATCCCATCGAGGATAGATGGCGTCCGATAAAGCTCCGCGTCCGTGAATATCCATTGCGATTGAGCCGCGACAAGGACAGGGTTGGAGGGCATTAGGACTGAGTGAGCGGGTTCGCGAGTCGAGGAAGACGTAGTAGCTGGCATGTTTGATCGATCAAACAAGAGTTCAGCTGAGACGAAGCGGAAAGATATAGTGGTATAATAATATCGCGCACGGTACGGATAGCTCACTACCCAACAGCTAGCGTTGTCTGCGGCCCGTGGGAAAGATCTTCTGATGTGCATTCACTCTCAATCACCGGGGGTCCTCATGTGAGGACATGGACGAATAAGTCATGGGTGATATTTCCTAAACGCAGGCATACTCAATCGGATGGCGTGGTTTTCGATCTGGTGTTATATAGCTCCGTGGGCTGCATCAGAAGTGGTGAGAGGCGTATGGAGTACCCAAGGGTTGGACTTTGATGAAGCTCGAAACTTGCGGCCGTTTCGGATCATTGTTGTTCCGGAGTACCCTTGCAGGGGACTCAGGGGCGTTGGTTAACGGGATTCTTATTTAACAGAATAACTAGTACTAACTAACTGGCTAACTACGGTTTGATATCATACAATCATATACCGAAACAGGAAATAACCCTTACGCCATATTCAAACACTGTAGCTCCGTATTTCTGAACAAACTGAGGAAGGAAAGTTTCACATTGTGTTTACTCTTCCTCACTTACTTCGCTTTCATCATCGCTCATGATTTGCTGCTGCATCCGTTGCTGCTGCTGCTGCTGTTGCAATAGCCTTTGGGCCCTCTCCTGCTCTTCCTCTCTTGCACTCTCCTCAAAAGCCGCTTCCATCTCAGCAGCCAAATCATCATCGTCTATCACTTCATCCTGTCCCGTATTTTCTCCCTTTCCTTCTGGTTCCTCCTGATCCTCGTCTTCTTCCTCGTCTTCTTCCTCGTCCTCTTCCTCCTCCTCTTCCTCCTGCTCTTCCTCCTGCTCTTCCTCGTCCTCATCCTCATTCTCATCCTCTTCATCACCCTTCCGTGCTTGGATCATAGTGGTTGAAGGTGATGGTAATCTCAGGTCTTCCATCTCCCCCTCATCATCACTATCGTAGTCTGCCTCATTGGCAGAGGTATTATTTGAGGAGAAATGTCGAGGATTTATTTTGAAGGCTGGGCGAGCGGGAGGCGGAGAACCCATATCAATAATTAAGTCTCCATCAACAATTATATTTGCCCCAGGAGATGCCGCCGGCTGTGATGGCTTATCTTCGTCTACTTCAAGCTTAGCAGTTCCTTCTCTGTCTGAGGACGACGAATCGAGGCCGATATCCACTTCATCAACGCGGGTTGCAGATTTAGGTTGAGATATCGTCGGGCCGCTGTCCGCAGCAGCCACTTTTGGTTGTCGTTTCTGTTGTCGAAGCGGATTTGCCTGAGCTTTGGCTTTAGCTATCGGCTTTGGCCTCGACCTCGCGCTGGCGACAGGTGGTGGTGCTAAATATGAATTTGTAAGGTTCGGAAGAGCATCAGACGTAGCGACATCAGGTCCCTCGATTTCAGCTTTGGGCTTTGGAAGAAAGTGGCGGAAATCATACGGGTTGCTCTCATCCGCAGCGCCTTCCGCGTCATCCTCACCGTTCCTTTCCTGAAGTTGGTCATCACAAGATATTTGATCTTCTCCGGAGAGGACATTAAGCTGCGGGTATTGTTCTATAACTTGTTGAGTTGATTTCCCTGGCGCGGATCGAAGGTTGAAGTTCAATCTGGTCGACACCGGCTCGAGAACGAACACTTTTTGCTCTGGGTCAAACACTAGAACCAAGTTGCTGGTCTCTGATTCGGACACTAAGGAGGTAGGATCAACACTGCCATGGTATGTGTAAACAAGATTTTTATATTCTGCGCTATGGGATTTGTCCCGAAGTGTGAGCTTGTATTGATGCTGGGTGGAGCCCGTCGCAGTGATTGTCGCCCTTTGATGTCGAGAAGCTGACTTGGTTTTATGGTTATAAGTAATGCCAATAAATTTATCTGTACTATTTTGTCCTTTCCCAGCCAATTTGCTGCCCAGGAGAATAGGATATTCTGCTTGCTTGGTGGGGTCAATCAAACCACCATTGAGTTGGGAGGTAGCGTGAGCTACTGCCGTGGCCATCGGGTTTATATGAAGAATAAATAGATGGTGACGAACGAGTCAGGGAATATATAAGGCTGCATAAAGGTAACAAGATATGGTCAGCGGAAAGGCAGGCCTGGCAATGCAGGCACTAGCTAGGGCGGATCTGCGATTGAAACAAAGACAGCCTGAGCGAACCGCAGGACAGTGGTAGAGAGAGGTTGAAGGAAGGCAGAGGGTCTACATTTAATCATCCAGCGACAAGGAGAGGGGCGGTTTATGAGAACGGAACAAAGAGAGTGCAAAATGAGAAGGGAGAAAAACGCAGCAGCTGAATGGTGAGAAGCAATCGCTGGCGTCGACAAACTGGACAAATCAACCTTCAGGCGGGGATGACAAAGCAAGTTGCTTCCCACTAAACCTGGAACAAGATTCCATGGCCTGATTCCACAGTGTTCCATTCTCCCATTCTTTCACATTTATCATTCCATTTATCATTTTCATCTTTCATCTTTCATTTTTCATTGTTTATTATTTATATTATTTTATATCTATTTTTTTTTTCATATCTAGTTTCGTACAAGCCATAAGCCTGGGGGAATGTATGTTCCCGGTTAAACGGAGAAGTATAAATAACCTCAATCTATCTAGGTTGAGGGCGATGCCACCCGAGAGATTATTTTCGGCTCATTATCAGCCCCGCTGGATGTTAGCTGATCCAGCCGTTCTGACAATATACGGTGCTTCTTCATAACTTCTTCCCATTCAGGAACGATCACATCCTCATCCTCCATATCACCATCCCCTTCAGTGAGGAATGACAGTATCATACTAAAATTTCCCCCCAGCCGGCCCAAGCTGCCAGCACAATACAGCACTTGAGTAAGCAAGCTTTCTCGTGAGCTCTTGTCCTTGACATTTGGAAGGTACGCCTTCAACGTCTCTGTCAAGAGCTGTGCTAGATGCATCGGAAACGTCGCCAGTGCGGGAGGTAAACATGGTAAAAGGTCCGGGGTTTTCCGCAAATTTGTTCCCTGCTTAGTCTGGAGGCTCAGATCCCGCAGATCTAAACCGGGCACGCTTGTGGATACCAGGGTAGATTCCGACGGTGTAGGCGCGAATATGTTTTTGTACATGGAAACTATTGCAAAGCTTTGTTCTCGGTAGATTTCAATATATCTTTTCAAAAATCTTTCCGTTTGCTGACCCGCGGGCCAAGCATTGCTGGTAGTGGATGAGCTTATTTGTTTCCCATTGCCTTGTAGCCTTCTCTGTGTTTCTTGGTCTGCAAGTTCTCTCAGCGGATCAAGAGCTTCAAGCATTGATATTAAATTTGCCAGCCGACAAACTAAAAATAGTGCTCCAAATGCTCCCTCACTATTCATTGCAGGCGTTTCTCTATAACTAGTATCCTCTAACTCCGGGGCGACACGCCTGAGCCAACCAACAGTTCGCATGGCTGCAGCAAGCCTTATATTTTGGACTCGAAGCGCGGCAATAAGATTGCTTGTCATGTCCTTCATTACCTCTTCCGCTTGTCGAGTGATATCTTTAACTAGCGAAGAATCAGGGTAGAGAGTCTGTAATCGTTTTATGTGCGCAAACAGGTCCAAGGCAGAAGAATAATTCATGTTCGATGCCCCAGTAGTTCCAACATTAGCGGATGAGGAAGACACCGCTGTAGAAAGGAGGGTGGGCAGCTCTAATATATCGGACAGTCGGTCCACATTCCTCAGCAGCTGCATTGCCTTCTTCCTGCCATCTAACATCGGGTTTTCCACGCTTTTGTTGTAGATGGAGGAGAAATGCACAGCCTCTTCATCCAGTTTTGGAATCCCATGTTGAAGCCGCCGCACCTCTGTAGCAATTTGTGGTATTGAAAAGCGGAGAGAGGAGAGGTGATCTGCCGCTGTGACGAATGATTTATGAGACCGATTCGAGAGAGCCTGCAGCGAAACTAGGGCGGAGTGAGAGGATTGTGAAAGAGACCGGGGCTCTGTTGACGTCAGTGAGGATAGCGAAAGTGTCGATAGGTAGTTGAGGTACTTGGACGTGACCGAATCTGAAGTTGGAGGGGGTGGGCGCGAGCGAGTGTCGACGGAATCAAAGTAGGGCGCCAGGAGTTCGTAAAACGGGTCAGCCATAACGGCACGGTCCAGCTCAAAATCGGAGTCCTTATGATACGTGCAATACGGGCGCCTAAATCAAATCTGGGATCCAATAGCGAAACGGATGTATGACAAGAAGAAGTGCTGCGTGGTCGAGGATGGATGAGGTTGACGGACGAGGATTGACGATGCTAAGCAGGGCTTGGTTTACAGATTAGCGCCCGTAACTTAGCTTCCATCTTACGCAGGAGCCAACA